AGCATTAATAGTTTACGAGTTATTAACGAAAAACGAAAAAACAGTTTTTTGCAAATAACTCGTTAACTATTGACGCTAGTGAAAAGTTTTTACATGGAAATTGTAGATCTCGTCGTCCTCTATAAGAAAGGTCGTATGCAATTTTCCCATATCTCCAACGGTTTAGGAGTTATTGGCAAAAAACGAAAATTTTGCAAAATCTGAAGGGATACCCCTTGGAAAAATCTCGGAAAAATCGAAAACTTTTTGTTGTTGTTTATTATTAGCGATGTTCTTCCGACGTCTGATTTCTTTTTAAAAAATGCGTTTCTAAAGCGTATAAACGTTTGGGATTGACTGTATAGCCAATACATCCTTAAAGAGGCCTTTTCGCTTCGAACACCGTAATTTTCATCTAGTTTTGTTTATTTATGGTAAACTTATGGATCGTCGAACTTCTATGTTTTTTACTCTTCCGTCTGTTGTACCGGAGTAACGGGCTTCCTCTTCCTCGTCTTGAGAGCGATAACATACACGCAGTGATGGAGCAGTGTGTATGCGAGGTTTTTCGGGAATGGAAAGCACCGTAAATAAAGACGTATCAATGAAATATCGGTGTGTGTTAGAGAAATGTGTTCTGTAGAGATCAGTGGCTACGGACGGTGTGCGCCGATATTTGGACAGAAATAAAAATGCAGAGAAAGACAAAGAAACACATATAGACACACAGAAACCGAAATAAAGAAAGAGAGAAAGAAAAGACACATGTAATATTTGCTATGACGAACACACTAACGATGCGGCATAGCGTGAAAAATCTGGCGTTTCTCCTGGATTTCATTAAATTATTCATTAAATTATCTTTTTTTTATCCAACACCAAGTTTTTCAGAGCATCATACCCAGTACAAACCCAAAAACGTTTTTAATGATATTCACATAGAATGACTATCCGATAGTTTTTAATCGAATCGTAAAACGTTTCTTGGTGTGTACCAAGCATTACCGTGCGATTGACAATGTTCGTAGATCAATCAGGAGTCCTGTACACTTACCTGAACAAACCGTGAGACGTGCTAGGCTGCAATTTTCCGTTTCCATTGTTCGACGGCGGTGCTGTCGGGGGTTGTGGTTCGCTGGCTGAACGTTGGACCAATGCCGGGGCTCTACTACTTTGCTTCGGCCCGGCCGGCGCGGTACCGGGCATCATCTCAATGCTGGAACTCTCCCTCGATGAATTGAGCGTCTGCTGAAGCAGAGTCAAGATCAATCTGATGTTCTCCCCCATCGTGTGTTCCATGGAGGACACCTGTCGCGACAGTTGATCTATCCTGGCGTTCACCTCTTCCATAGGCCGGCCTGGTCCACTTTGAAAGTCACCTACGATCCATAGAGAGATACAGATCTGTTCGAACGCTAACAAATCGATATTGAAAATGGTGAATCCTCGTCAATTTTGTTTGTTGTCGATTATGATTTTGGGGAGGGGGGGGGGGCGGAATCGTGATTATCATGAAATCATCGGGGATTGTCACATAACGAGAACGAGGCAGACAGTCTTTTATTTTTTTCTGATATGAAGCAAACTATTCACGGAGGCATAAGACATGACAGATGATCGGGTCAAGCCTAAATTAATACCGTTTCATGTGCGATTCGAAATCGTGATGGGCAACTCGTGCTTTTGAGAGTTTGGAGCAGTGCATCGTGATTGATAATCATCTCGATAAGGATTCTCGCTCTTATTCTAACACTCTCTATTCTTTTCCCTGATGTCCTCGCTTCCGGTTTCGGGTAGTAGATTCGTTGGATCCCGAGTTGCCCATCACTGGAATTCTATCGTATCTTCCACGCAGCCTTGAGCCTGTGATTCTACCCACCATGAGACTGCGGAAGCTGCGGCGGCGACGGCGTTGTATAATGACTGGACGTCGTCGATGTCGGGTGCACCACGTTCTGGCTGAGGCAACTTTCACCGGCCGCGGAGCTTCTCCGTGCTGGTTTCGTCAATGGAGTGGTCACTGGATAAACCCAGGGCACAGAATCAGTACCACGATCCGGGAAGTAGCGCGAGCCTTCCTACCCTCTAGAAGTGCCTCTTATCTCCGAGATAAAGGGGGGGGGCGGACAAGGAGGAGAGAAAGATAGAGAGAGATAGTAAGAGCGAGAGAGAGAGAGAGAGAGAGAGAGAGAGATGGAAATTTTTTAAAAGTGAAGTTTTTCCAGGAGCTTTTTAATAAAGTATGATATATCGTGCCGTTTCTTCAGCAACGATACCCGTTGTTTACCGAGCGAGCGTTTGTCCGTGGTCGTTGATGATATATGTAGAAAATAGTTGGCCCGTCTACTTCGCCAAATGGATACTTACTCTGCTTGGCGAGGTAATCGTGACTCGTCAGTGGCTGCAGATGGATCTTGTGCTGACGTAGGTCCGGTATGCTGCGCTTGAGATGGGTTAGCATGCCTGAACAACCAGGTTTCAAGGTGTTAACGAACTCGGGACGTCAAATGCAAACGCAAAGCTTAAAAAACACGCTGCCGCGCGCTTAACCCAAACGCCTGCGACGCTTCGAGTCCCGCGAGTCGACTAATCGACTGACCGATGGTCAAGCTTGGTTCTAAGCTGATTACAATTTATGCAGCTACCCTGGATATTTACACGCACACTACGAGTCGTCGATCAAGGCGATTGGGCTAAAGGGATGTTTCAGCGGACAGAAAAAAAGGGGGGAAAGAGAAGAAGTATATCCGTCGAATAAAGCTCATGAAAAATGAACTACGCTATGTAGATAGAAATCTTAAGAATAAAATGATAAGTAATATTGTATATACGGAGGAATGAAGATCTTCGTGAGACACGAGCAATCGAATTAACATGAGCCTGATCAAAATTAGAATCTGGCGATCCTGAAGCGGAAACGGGGATGAGGATTGAGAACGAACGTTCGATGTTCTAATTGTAGTCCGAAAAGCTTATTAAAAATCTATACATTAAACGGTAGCTGCTATCTCCCACGAAAGGGAGCGAACTCCGCTTCCACTCCAGAACTATGGTAGAATTAGAGTAATTACTGCACTTTGCGATGTAACATTCGGAATTACCTTCTCACAATAATTGTTGTTAACCGGCCCGGAAAAACGGTTCTCTTCAGAGATACTAAAAGTGGTCCAAAACTGACGCAACGATTCGATCAAGTACAGGATATATTATAAGGGGGATAAAAGGTGCAAGCCGAGCTTCTCGTATTATAGTATATTATATTAAATACATATGTATAAATATATGTACAATGTATCGAAATGTTTCTATGTCTCTCGACAATTTTAATAATGGCAAGCGATCGATGTGGCGAGTTTGCTAAGCGATGATTCCAAAGTACTTTCCTGAACCATAACAATCTTCCGCATTCTTGTATCGCAAACGTATCGAAAAATCGACAATCGTAAAGAGTGATTCTTGCTCGAATTTATTTAAGAACTCTATTTGTCGTGCAGAGAACAACATTCCTCAGACAATAAGTAGAGACAAACGATAGAAATAGAGAGAGAGAGAGATGTAGGAAGAGATAGATAAGTAGAAAGAATCGGTAAAAAAGAAGGCATTACTTCGTAGGAAAATATGGAGTCGAGATTTATCTGATCTGACGAACATCGCTTACCAGTTATTGAGTTCAACGTTGAGCTTCTCTGTTTGGGCTCGTCGAACTCTAGGTTCAACGGTGTCACATCTTGGCCGGCTTTGTCGGTGCTGAACTCCAATATCCCGTGGCCACTTCCTTTGTCACTAAATGATTCAAATGACAGATTTTCGAATAAAACGAGTACTGTAAAACGAGTCTGTCCTCGATTATTTAAATGGAGAACGTACTAATCATCCGGGTCACCCTGCAAGGAGTCTTGTCGACCGGTGGGTATAAGATTGCCAGGACCTCCGGGTCCTCGACGGTATCTTGGTGGACGGAAAGCGAATCTCCTAGCGTCGACGTCGACGTCCGTTGGAGTACTGACAGGATACCTTGCTGATATTGGATCGACCCCGGCTTGCTCCTCCTAATCGGTTCCCGTAAGATTTAATTAATTCCCGGCGTAGAATCGAATCGTAACGAGTGAGCGCATTCTACGTACGTCTCTCAGATTAAAAGTAATTTCGAGGTTCTGACTGAAATGATTCGAGAACTCTGGATAAAGCGCCAGAACGTCGAGTAAGTCGTCCCTGTGAATCTTGTGTAAATCGCAATACGTCAAAGCGCGCACGTTGCATGATGCTTTGCCTACGGTCGGATATATACACGGATTCTCCCCGAATATGTCGTCCTTGGCCAGAATCGCCATCACCACGTCTTCCTTCAGTATCTCTATGCTCCCGCGCGATATGAAGTACAGGGACGTCAGCACGTCCCCTTTATGAACTAACGTGTCACTTGGTGGTGCGTGTGTCGTTTTGAACTTTAATGATAATGCCCTAATGAAAAATTCATTCGTTCACGTTCCCCGTCTCTCTCAAGTACCGCAATTTCACCGCAGATGAATTATTAATACCTTAAACAACCGGGACTGGCACCCTCGAAGGCTTTACAGTTGTTTAAAAGGTTTCTGTTCAGATGAAGACAGATGTCCGCCTGAAGGCACTCGGGGAACCCTTTCAGAACGCTGTTCATGTCGATTCCGTTCGTATACGTCCAAGCATGTTGAAAGTACTCCTCTAACCGTTGACGCAGCGGGTTAGGGATCTGATGGAACCTTATGAACTCTCGAACTCGAAGCATCTGCGTGTGGTATCTCGCCGTACCGCTGTAAAGTCTCTGTATGATCGCTGAGACGTTACCGAAGATACTGGCGTACATCAAAGCTGAGAAACAAAGTTGATTCTTCGAAGAAATAGTAGGGAACATCGGTCGTTCGACGCTCATAGTCGGACGACTAGTCGGTCGCACGGATAAAATACTTGGGTATATCGAGTGAGCCAAGAAGAATTGCCATGATTTGAAAAAAATTAGTTGTCATTTGTTAAATCATAAGAGCATATATAATGTTGAATATTATTCTTGTTGGTCCACCCTGTTTCAATTAAATACTTCTCATTTATATTGAATCCTTACATCCGATTAGCATAACGATTATAGTAAATATCTTTTCGGCGTCCGTGTTTGGAGCCACGTTTCCAAAGCCCACCGATGTTAAACTACTAAAGGTGAAATACAGTGCTGTGATATAGCGGCTCTGAAATCGAAAATATCGATGATTCCAAGGTATGTAATCGTCTCGCGAGCGCGTACCGCTTATAAATTTACCTTTATACTTGGCCCACCGGTGTTATTGTGAAAATAAAATTGATGCGTGTCGTTGGCTAGAATATCGAGCCAGCCTACTTTACTTTTCAACGTTGGCCTTTCCGCGTTTCCTATAGCATACCTTCAACCAAATATTTTACATTGTATTACAACTACGAATATTTCCTGAAGCGATTGCTGCGAGTTTCAGGACTTTACCATATGCATGCCATCCAGTGGGCACAGAGAGCAAAGGTGCCCATCAAAAGGAGTAAAACTGCGGCTCCATATTCGCTGTACCTGTCGATCTTCCTAGCTACTCTGACGAGTCGCAGAAGACGAGCGGTCTTCAATAGTCCTATCAAGGTGGTCGTCTGTAACGAATATGTCACACTTTGTCGATCTCACGCTGAGCCGTTACGAGTCACGTTCTCTCGACTCTCGACAGAGTTCCCTCGAATTTTCCGAGAAGCTAACGTTAACTGACCAACGGCGTTAGAGCGCATTGCATTTGCAAACGAGACTGTCGATTCAATTAGTTCCGACCTTTTTACGCAGTACTTGTGAATGTAATTATAATTACTGAGTGGCAACTGTAATTATCCGATTAACTTCCCGCAACTCCCAGCGGAGGTTGCGACGTACGGGAAATGGTAGAATTGCATAAGTCCGCGGAGAATCGATCATACTTTTCGATAGAGATAAAGTAGCGTCGCAGAGAATAATGGAATCGCGTTAATAGCCAATACAATCGTCCTAGATCAGTTATTCTATCTCCGGTTAATACAGTGACGCGATAAAGTGTGCATTAGGCGCTAGTTACGAATGCAATTGATAATTGATCCGCCCTCGATGCACCGTTCCATGTACTCCGACGTATTATCGAACCGCGGCAACGCTAAAGTCAGTTCTATACTTGACAGTCTCACTTGTTCTTACAAGGAATCGCTAGTTCGCCGCACCGGCTGTCGTTCTCGACTTCCATCGATCGAGGCTGGCAGACGGTCACTACCAGGTCAACCAACGGCTAAGTTTCATAACGTTTTTTAATTAAATTAAAAAATAAAACTCGTCCGCTTCTTTAATCGAGGACGACAGTCGTAAGAAGTTCAGCTGACTCGTGAGCAGACGTTCTTTGTCACCCTCTCAATCAAATCTCTTCGAATTACCTGGCACTTTGCATATGTACATATTTCTCTTGAGATATAAAAGAAATGAAAACCGTGTGTACTTGATTTACTTATATACTTATTAGGATTCACTGATAGTGCAATAGGTGATCAAAGGATCACACATTCTCTACTATTACGTTCAGAGTGTCAATTATTATAAGAACGTCTTTTTTCATTTTCGAAATGTAACTCACGAGCAATAAAAGGTCGTCGCGCGTATGAAACATTGTGCAAATAATAATCGTTGGATGAAAGACATTCTGGTGAACGGAGACTCGTGATACTCATGCTTTCCCTCTCTGAATGTACACGATTTCTTACCTGCGATGGAAGTTCGAGATTTGATTACCGCCGAGGAACGGACGGAAACATCCGTCGGGAATGTCGACGGAACAACGACGACGTGTTCACGTGAACGACTCTATCATGCAAAGTCGACTACGCTCCAACCAAAAGTGAACCATTCGCCTAATGGTTTGCTAACGATAATCTCGAACTCGGTATACGGGTTGCTCGACGATAATTACACGCAGATCATTATTCCACAAAAGGGTGAAATTAGGATCGTTTACACAGTTGTAAAAATATTCATGGCCTTCCGCGTTCGATAAATTTTCGTTTTACATAATGAATTCTTGTTCGCGTTATGATTCCGATCAATTTTCGGTAGCACGGATACACCTATAACACGTTATTATCTCTGCTACTTAGATGGTCACGTTTTATGGGTTGGAGCAATCGTTGGACGATATATCGACTTGAGCAGAGATGAGACACTCGGGGCTGCCTTTTATTTGGCCTCGTGCGATCGCTAAGAATATCCGAGGACGTTTGATAGCCGCGACTGATAGGGGAAGAAATGTTATTGCGGCATGCACGCGAACCTCGATCTACCAAGCACATCCAGGAAGTTCCGAATAATTCGTGCTACGTCCTATTGCCTGCCCGCGAACCGCTTTTATCCTCCCGTTGAAACGATTTGAATGTCGTGATAAACTGCACTGAATAATTGCCAGTTTGATAATAGTGCTTTTATTGATAAGCTTAATGGAGCAGGCAATCGAGGATCGAAATGGGTCTCTTTATGTTGCGTGTCTCTTCATTTTTTATACGCCTCTTTGTGTAAATATCCCTTAGCAACCCGTAATGTACGTGGCAAGACATTATACATAAGTGGAAAGAAGACGAAGCAGTCAAGCGACAGAAAACACACATAAATACTCATTATCGTGTAGAAAAAAATATTAAGACGTTAGATGTACAATTAAAACTTGAAAAAAACACGGTGCGAGTTCTTGTTCTTGTATCAATATTAAAAGCGCCAAACTACAAAACTTGTTAAGAGCACCGAATCCAGGTGGGTGATAACAAGTTCGATGATAATAGTGTACACACAAAAATCATCAAATTAGGCTTGTATGGTTTCTCATTCTGTATAGCTTGCAACCGAAGCGTAATCAGTAATCAGAGTTACGAAGAAAGCTTGATAAATAAAAAGCTCAGTAAAAGAGGGACAACAGAGAATTGTCTTAAATGAAATTCAGAGAGAAAATACGGCAAAAGCTTACATACGATCGTTACGAAATCCTGTTGGAGGATCTTTCGTTTTCGGAGTGCATTCGTTGTGTCGCTATGCGATCCTCTGCGTCTCTCGTGTGTCGTTCTGTGTTTATGCGTGTTTGCGCGCGCGTGTAATTTTCTGAACGTGTATATGTACGTATCTCTGTGTACCGTGTTCAGGGATACTTTGAGCATTTCTGAATGTGTCTACTTTAGAGGAACCACCGAGGAGAAATTACTAAAGAGTGACAACCTTGTGGGACTTCATGTCGCACGAAAAAGTCGACAATTTTTTATGTTCTTTAGAAAATATTTCCACCGAGGTAAGAAATAGTAAGCAAAACAATCGTCACTGCTGAACAGTTGTCAGATACAAGAAAAGTCTCATGCGATTTCCTACTTAACTCCACGCGTTAAGGATGTATTGGCTATATAGTCAATACCAAAAGTTTATGTATCTTAGAAAAACGCATTTCCTATAATTAAAAATAGTGCATTTTTCTTCTAATTTCGATATTTAATGAGTTAAGTATGATTATTTGGCATTTTATTGATGTTGACAAAATCCGACCATTCCAGCGTCGAAACGGCGAACTTTTGGAAAAAAATTTGGTTTTTCCTCAATAACTCCTAAACTCTTGGAGATACGGGAAAATTGCATACGACCTTTCTTGTAGACGACGACGAGATCTACAATTTCCATGTAAAAATTTTTCGCTAGCGTCAATAGTTAACGAGTTATTGACGGAAAACGAAAAAACAGTTTTTTGCAAATTACTCGTTAACTATTAACGCTAGCGAAAAATTTTTACATGGAAATTGTAGATCTCATCGTCCTCTACAAAAAAGGTCTGATGCAATTTTCCTGTACAACCAACGGTTTGGAAGTTATTGGCAAAAAACGAAAATTTCGCAAAATCTGAAGGGGTACCCCTTGGAAAAATCTCGGAAAAATCGAAAAATTTTTTTTTCTCAAAATATCGAGAAATGCTTCAAGTAAAAGTTGTAGATGATACTATTACCTATGAAAAATTTGAAATCACTATAATTTTAGCTTTTTAATAGTAATAGGAATTTATAATAACAAATTTAACATGCCAGCATTGTTTAAGTATATGTATAGCCTATACATCCGTAAGGAATAATTGGCGATGAACGAACTAATTACTCGATTAGTCCTCAAATATTCGAGATAAAATAAACGTGTATACGATCTTCCTTGCAGGTTCTACGAGTACCTACAACTTTCACTTGAAGCATTTTTCGATGTTTTGAGAAAAAAGAATTTTTTTCCCGAGGTTTTAAGGGGTAGATTTTGTTTGCTTTTCTACAAATAAATGCTTACCTGTTGCTGGTATCGGAAAATGTTTGATACGAAAGTTGTAGGTACCATTGAGAACTACAACTTTTGTATGAAATATTTTTTTCCATCGTCAATAATTAACGAGTATTCTGGAATAAATTGTTTTCTCGTTTTTTGTAAAATACTTGTTAACTATCGATGCTAGCGAGAAATGTTTCAGACAAAAGTTGTAGCTCCATTTGCGAGATACAAGAAAGGTTCTATGAAATTTCCATCGAATTCCACTCGCAGGCCCAATTTGTTGTCCCAACGATTACACGGGCATTGCCACTCTTTATTATATCTCATCGGTGGAGGAACTTACATATCCGTCTATCGGGGCGCATTCTTTTCTATTACTTTCAATACTGTTTGTTTTATATGTTGGGGACACTTGGAAATAAGCACGGATAATCCTGCAACCCCAAATTTCAAATCGAATCTATATAAGTGCAGTTGCAGCGTTCGCTTTCTAAACAAGATGCTAGGACCGTTCAATTATTTCAAATGAATGGTTCGTAGCTATAGTTTGTATGTTGCAGCTGCACCTTGATTACTCTAAGAATTGGAACAAAAAGACGTACAAAAATGGAGAAGCTCGAAGTGCAAAATATTTAGACGGAACGTACAAACGCTTCCTGTAGATCAAAATGTTCGATAGATAAAACAACAGGTATTTTCGTTTTCGTTCCTTTTTTTTTAACAAGCTCCTCCGATTCGTTCGGTTAGCCAGCCGTCTCTCTAATCTCGTTTCATTCTTGATCGAGCTTGAATGGCTTTGATGCACAATACCGTCCTCCATGTGCCAGACCCATCAATTTGATCGATCCCGGAATCCACAGTTGAATTCAGCCCTGATATTGTTAAAAGATATAATAATAACATGAAGTCAAAACTAAGGGATAAAACATTCAACACATTTTTACTCGGGTGGACAGTTTTACATTCACGGGTCTGACACAACGGGGAACAGGACATCATCTCTAATTCGTGCGGCGATATCACATCAATTCAAGTGGATAAATATTATTCAGTTCGTTTGGTTAAAAAAATGTCGTTGGTCAAGTAACTACGAAAAAGACACTCTCTAACTATTTGTATTGTTCTTAACAACTATTGATACCCAACAATAATTTCTATTTCTATGTAAAAAAGGGGAAAATGACAAAAATAGAGAAGTGAAGTAAAAAATGGTAGGGCTCGTTTGAAGTGAATCAATATTTGTTAAGAACATTTCATCTAAGACTATTCACTATCTAATCAGAATGTATTATGTATACATACATATATACAAGTACTCTTATCACGTAACGATTATGGGAATATTTCTTGCTCTTTCAATGGGTGCAGTTCATAAAATTCTTGTATATTCTTGGATATATAGGACGAAAAAAAAAATCAAGGTAGTTTTAAGGCTACTTCGATGCAAGACGACTTTCTACCAACTGATCGTACGTGGGTAGATCATTATACTTTTATTGTATTTACAGTATCGTCTCTTCGTATTTATTTTCCTTCTGCAAAGTACTTTACTGTGTGAAGTTTGCTCAAGGTTCACCAGCTGAAGAATCTTTTTCTCGCCGCAGAGAAAGAGAGACAGAGAGAGAGAGGACAGGAGCAAATCGATCGACATTTTTCTGCTCGTTATTTTTGAAAAAATCTGGAAATATATTTTACCACTGATTATGGTATGGCGCTGGAAAAAAGAAGAAACGGAGTCGAAGTATCTTTTTAATGTCGATCGACTTCGCTCGAAATTCCGTGACAATTTGTGGGGTTGCAGTTGGCCGAGTTTTCTTCTTATTATTTGATCTTTGCGATTGTGTGATTTTTGTGTGTATAAGTGTGCAAATCGGGGGGTATAGTGATTTGTTTGACGTCGATGTGGAACATTAAAGTAAAAGAAAACGAAGTGGTTTTGTAGTAAAACAGCTGGTGCAAAAAAGGACGTTTGAACGCAATGTGTTCTTCTTTTGAAAGCTCTTAATCGCATATGATAGAAACAAATAGAGAAAAAGAGAAAGAGAGAGAGAGAGAGAGAGAGAGAGAGAGAGAGAGAGAGAAATACAGATAGACAGAAAGAAAGGCAGTAGGACAGAAACAGATAGAAAATTCATGGCTGCGTTGATTTTTCTCAATCATTAGTGTGTAAAAATCGAAACCTGCTTTTAACTAAAGGAAACAAAAAAAGAACGTCAGCCTGTGAGTAAATTTCCTGTGTGTATGTGTGTCAACTAACCTCGTCCTTGTCCAAGCCGAGCTACGAAAACGTTAAACCCAGGTTAAAATTCGTTCGTTCATCATTACGTGATTTAATTGTTGTTCACAAAAAAACGAAAAATAAATGGAGAAAAATTAATGTAAAAAAAGGGAACCATTATTTCCATATTATTATCATTTCATTGGAAAGGAATCATCTAGACAAGTAAGATTAAATTGATGCGATCGAAAAATTCATTCGATTCATCGTCGGTGATCTTGAAGAAGATCGTACGATGTTTTCTTTTCGTAGACATGAAACTCTCGCCACTTTCTCGCAGACTGGTCTCAACTTGTGAAACGTTCCTACACGCGTAATTAAAATTATACTGCCCTATATTTTTATTCGTGCTCCAATAGGGAAGAAGGTAGCCGCGTAGAATACCCGCAGGTGCATTATTGTCTTTTCCTACCGCGCGGCCGACGTCGCGTTTCAATTCATCGGTTTAATCAGCGCCGTGGAAAATGGAACGATAAAAAGAAAATATATCTTGCAATAAGACGAATGGTAATTACCCGACGCGGAGGAGAAGCAGAGAGACGCGAAAATTATGAGAAACGGAGCGAACCGAACGTAAACGCATAAGTAATTGAAAATTTAGAAAGAAATAAAGATACGGGGAAATCAATACTAGAAGAGAAATCTTGATAAGGAATTGATAAAATCTAACATGTCGACAATCAGAGCAGAAATCTCACAGCGAGAGACTAAAATTACTTACACATGTATAAATCGAGTGTGTATGCATACGTGTGTGTACAGGTACAAATCCAATTCGGAAATTACTATTTTTCTAAACGATTATGTCTTTCGGACGCCTTTCACATTTAAAGAGGAATCTCGTAGTAAGACACGGGTAACAATCCGTGTTTTTCTTTTTCTCTTCTGTTAGCAAAAGTAATACGAAATGTAATCGATCAAAGATTTAATTCCCGCACGAACAAACTTCTTTTCTACTTTCTCGATTCTTTCTCGATATTGTTCGATCTATGACGTACGTGTACTTTTCGTGATACTTGTGTGGAATTGTTCCAGACAACGAGAATTCGTTAAAGTTTCTTCTCGTTTGCCGGAAACGTAGTACATTGTGTGCACATTTAATACACGTCGAATCGATCTAATTTTCGACAAAGAAAAAATAGAAATCATTCAACACCGAGAAACGTCGAAAAAAGGGAAAACGAACTAAGCACCAATCCGGTAAGACACACCTATGGGCACTTAACTTGGGCTCGGCATGTCATCCTAATCATGTTTACGAGCTAACATCGACATTCTAGAGACTCCAGCCGAAAACCTGATCGTCCCGCAAATCACTTCTCTTTCGCTACTAAATTAATTATTCTTTCCCCTCCGTCAGCCACCGATAAAGTGGTGTCGTTTCATGTCTTGGAAGGTAGCTCCGATCTTACAATATGTCTGAATGAGTCGTTCTCCTCAAACATCTTGCGTTTTTCTGTGAATCTTATTACCATTCTCTTTTTATGATCTACAATTCAATCAACTGATTGACTCGAATTTTAACTTAAAAGAATTCACGGAAACGAGGAAATGCTTTTCCTCTTGGGTTCGAGTGAAATTATTAGACAGAAGAGATAATTTAATTGTAAGAAGTGATTTAACGGTGATCAGGTTCAGCCTGGAAAGAAGATTCTCAGAAAACGTGGAGCGTGCGACGAAACTTACCTCATCAGTGTGGGAGCCAACGAGAAAAAGGTCGAAGGGTATCGCGGCCACCAGGTCGATGATGAACCAACCCTTCAGGTAATGGACGGCTATTTTTCCGGGATGGGACACCACTTCATCGTTGCTATTCACGAAAGTCGTGCGAAAATTTATGATGATGTCCACTATGAAAGTGACGTCGACTGAAAAAGCAAAATACTCGTGAGAAGAACGCGTCGCGTCGCTCGCTGCCGATGTGTGACCCCCGACTGGTCAAATAAAAAATCGTGAGGAAAATGCGAATTATTTCCAGACGACGACACGAGGAAGCGAAGAAAGTAGTACGCACTACGTACGATCTGACCGCGCGCGCAGTGGAATTACGAGTGTTTGGTCAGACAGCGTGTACAGAAATTCCTATCAACGTCAGACGCGCACGTCAAATTCCTTTTACCGAATCATCGCGAGTTTATTGGCTCAAGAACGCTTTCATCGTGCTGTTTAATTGATACTCTTTCATGTTTGCGACGTGGATAGGAAGTCGAATTTTTATTCGTCGCCGATCGCTGGGTTCTCTCACCTATGAAGTCTATGATGACGATGGGATCGTCACTGTACTTTTTGTTTTTCCTGCTGTTGTAATCCGGATCCGACAGGACGAAGGCGGCGACGTAAGGAGTGAATATAGCGGTATACAATACGAGCAGTAGTATCACCCAGTCCCAAACCGCTTTGAAAGGTGAATAGTGCAGTATGGTCCACTTGCCGATTCTAGGTGACTGTAATTTGTACTCTGGGAGGATATCGTTTCCAAGGGACAGCACCTGTGGCACAGAGCATCGACGCCTTGGGAGAGAGTTGATTCAATTGGACATGATCGTGGAAACAAAAATAGAATTAAAACCATTCTTCATTTTGTTTGATCAGTACTGGTAGTAAGATTAATGGTATCGCTTTTGGAGATCGATTCTTCTGATTTACAGTGTTTTGTCAAAGTCCGCGTTCATTTATTTTCGCGGTCGAAATATCTTTCCCGAGAAACAGATTTAAGAGAGAAGAATAGCAAACGATTCGTGTAGAAATTTTGTTGTATGTCACGTGGAAACCAGTTTTATACGCGGCCATGAATGTAAATGTAAGAAAGAAATGTATTTCACGCTCCGTATTTCATTTTTAATACACCGTTGTTCCCCAAGCGGAATGACCGAGTGAACAATATCAGGGACGGCTTTGTTTCGTTCCACATTTTCATCTTTCCTTGTCTGTCGAACACAGCGACTAGAAACGCGAGAAATAACACCCACGCCCGCTTTCTTTTTTTCTATCGCTTGGCGCCGTGTTCATTTCGTCTATACCACGACGAATATATGAATAAGATTGTTATTTCAATCCAATTATTTGAGCGTTCACTCTGTTTCAATTTTCACTTTCGATACGGATCGATCGAAATTTCGATTGCCATGGAATCGCTTTGCCGTTTCCATGGCAAACATTGTTTTTCCTCATCTGGAGACAATTATGATTATCCCTCCTTCGATTTAAACCATCGTCGAAGAGGGCTTAAATCTCAACGAAATCCGTAGTGTCTTAGACGGCAATCAATACGACATAAAACGTCTTCAGCGAGCAAAGCTAAACGTTTAGAGAATAAGAATGGCGGGAGGGAAGAAAAAACGGGGAGAACTCAAGGAGAAAGGCCTGACCTGCCGGGCACAGTAGCGTTTCGAACCACTAATCGGACTCTCTGCCATTTAATCCGGCCTTTGTCGAGGTTCTTCGACGAAACCACCGATCGACCATAAGTATACACGCTCGTCGCACACTATGACTCTCTTCACTGACACACGGTCGGAACACGTGCACTTTCACCTGTAACTGCCGACAGGCGCCGCGAGATCTACATGGAGTGAAGAATCATAGATCCGCTCGTTTTCCGCGGTCCGGGCATCATCGTTCCGTTTGTAGCCGACGCGCACCGTATTCTACTCCCACCGACTGGCAGGGAGAAACAGAGGAGGATTTGGTTTCCAACGGAGTAACACGCCCTCGGCCGCGAGCACGTTTTATCGAGCGCGAAAACTAGCTCGCGTCGGAAAAGCGGCGGCAAAGCGACTGCCGATTCTAGTGGCAGCGTCGACGACTCGAGGAACCGGGGATATCGATCCGGCCGACGTGGACGGAACGATGCCCCAAATACTGGGATACCACTTGTTTACAACGCGGTGAGGAAGAACCGGAAGAGTCCTGGTCGAGTGCTAGCCTCACACTGATGCAATGCGGGCCGCGAAGGGTGGCGGCATTCGATTGGCGAAGGGGAGGCCGACGAAGAGTGAGCGCGTGCGAGAGGGAGAGACAGCCGCCGCGGGAGACAGAGCGAGACCGCGTACGTGTGCACGCGTTTACGTGTGAGTCAGGGCAACCCTCGTCGTCACACCCTACGGCCTACGCCGACCACCCTTGCAAGTGTTCAATCTTAGCAGGGTTAGCCTTATTACCTTAATAGTGGCTGTGTCTTCCAGCGGCGACCTCGCTCAGCCCAATAACAAGACTTCCGTTGCATTTCGTGCACGCCGACTAGCAGGAACTGATCCCGCGATTCTCGTTTACTACCGCGTACGATCTTTCCTCCTTCCATCCGAGCATCGTGCGCCCACTGTTTTTTCACATGACGAGCGACTACGAGAAAATCGTGCAAGTCATATTTCGTGTCTACGTGTGCACCGAAACCGTTTCCATTTATTTTACTGGCCACTGGTTTATCCCGCACGTGTTTGTTTGAACGTAGACTATTCGGTACGCCACGCCAGCGACGATTCTGTTTACCTGGCCAAGTAGCCAGGATCTGTTGCTTCTAAACTACATCATCGGTCACGAGTATTCGATTCAAGACACAGCCGAACACGACTCGGTGACTGTTTTTCCAATTGCATTACAACTTTATCAATAATTCTTCAGTACTCAGGATTGTTTCAGTACTTGTAAACGGAAATGTACAAACCATTGTTTAAACGCGAGACGTGAGAAGAATAATGAACTACATCTCGGCGCTTATTATTACGGTTACAAAGAGTTCCAGGGGATCAATGCATCGCACGGTTGAAACGTTGTATCGATTATCGGTTCGTAGAGAATTATAAATACTGACGCAAGACACCGTTTCACCCGACATCTGGACACCGTCTGTAAGTCGCCTGGATTTAGTTGAAGACCTAAATGTCTCTATGTTCCGAATGGAACAGTCGTTTAATCGATTTCTCATTATTGGAACCGCGAGGATCTCCCAGGATGAAATAAACGGTTATGTTCGAATTCCATTTTTTTTAGAGCTTGTAAAAATTTATAAATTTCCATAAGCATTCGAGTCGTGGACGAGCCAGGAAAATGTAAATCGGAATGGATTATCTTTTATTCATACACCTGTTTCAACCAGGCGAGCCGAGCGTGTTGCTCGGTACCTGAACGTGCGCGGGGGCGCGGGTTCGTGACCTGCCAGCCTCGTTTCAATGACCTTTCGTCATTGAGCCTTTCGAATAAGCTCGTTATTTCTAATAAGCCACGAATGCGGAGACGAGCTCCTGGCAAGAAAATGACTTCGTCTTAAAACCATGCACCTCTTCGATTTCTTACAGAGGAGTCCTAGTTCAGGTTTCTGGGAATCGGTAGGTCAATCGGGTCAGGGAATCACGTTGTTTCGGAGGCTCGATAATTGCCGGAAACAATTTAGGATCGAATACGAGTCTGGATCGATTGATTCTAGGTTGAAACTATGTTGCACGCTCCACCTGTTCTACTTAGAAAGACCGAATACTCGCGTGGCAAGAACTGAACAATTAAGACAAAGCACGCGTCTCCCCTTAACCTCAAGAAAGTTCATCAACCCGACGAGCGAGGTTTCTGTAAAAACGAGAAAAGAAACTCATCACAATTTTCTATCTAATCGTAGACGTATTCGCAAGTAGGACGTGTTCAATGTTGACTACGCGCGTCTTCGAGGAAAATCGTCAGTATCGGTTTGAGATTGATCGACTCGACGTAGATTAGTAATTAGAGCGCAAGGTACACCAAGTATGCCATACACGGCTCTGGCATACAGGGAAAGCCTGACCAATTAAAGGAGATCCTCGTTTCCAAGAATATGACGGCATTGAAAATCCTTCCGAGATGCGATCCATCTAATGAATCGGCGCCAGTCTCCGTGCAAATTTAATTACTAATTAGAGCGATGCTGACAAGTATCACGTTGAGAAATTTCTAATAGATTAGAATCGCATGAGTTGACTAATAGATTGGTCGAGGTAGGATCCAACAGTAGATCAGACCGTGCCGTGACCTGGAATCATCGAATAGTTTCCGTCGGATTTAATAAGCGTCAGGTGATACTCAAGAACTTGTACGAAAATTTAAAGCGCAGGAAACTTCGTAAGGGCAAATAAATAATAAATTAGTAACAGAGTTCCATGGAAATGTTATGAACTTTCTCGAAATTTGTCACGATCGGAATTGCTCGCAGATTTCTTTTCGCAAGTTAGTTAAACAAGTTTTTAAATTATTTATTAATGAATAAGAACCTGATTCGAATGCACAACTGTTTGCATCCGACGGGAAATCGTAAAACTACCGAAGTCGAGAGAGCTAAAGCTATTCGAGGCAGCAGATTCTGTTACAACTTCATTCCCAGAAGGTATGCGGAAATGACCTGTTTCCCGGTAATAAACGCAGATGCCAACCCCTAGGCTCCGTCTCCGAAATTGTCAACTATAACCACGCCACAGCAGTTCGTTTCAAATATTCAACGCGATCAAGAACGCAGGACAGTGATACGCATATTAATAGAAGAACATAGAATTATCCTCAAATAAATAAAAGTGTACGAGGAAAACATTCGTTACTTTTTTAAGAAACTTATAAATACTTTTTTCCCTGAAGCCTATCGAGCCGGATGATTCTCAACAGAAATAGCATATGATCTCTTTGTTAATTTTTCTGACTTACGACCCTGTTTATACACCGGTTATCGACGCGCGTTTCGAGAAAATCAGGTCGCGTCAACACGACAAAGCTCGTTTCTGTATTCGGGACATAATCCAGGCGTCGCGGGCAGGAACCTGCTGTCAAAGTATGGAAATGTAGAATCAGTAGTAGTTATCAGTGGACGCCTTTGTTCGCATTGTAAATAACGGTTCTGCTTAATGAAAGCTTCACGACCCTCGGTGTCGCAATAAAGCGTGGCAGTAGTCGACTTAGGGCCGCGCGTATACGCGTGTACACGTATTTACGTACAAACACTGGTACAGGTTGTCGTATTAATGAGATTTTGAATACGCCGTACGTGGTTCGATTTATATCTGGCGATGCAGCCAGCTTCGTTACCCAGAATCGAGCCGGAAGCGGTGTATAAAATTTGTATAGGTGATAAATTATAGGAATACGAACGTCAAATACCGTCGATAGAGTGGAGCCGAACTTCTGTTTCTTTCCTTTAACCAAGTAGGAGTGCATCATGGTTGCCGAGACTTGGGTAAAAAGTTCTAAAGTCATTCTCAGACGGTCTCTATACGTTCGCGACCGAACGCCGCGTGGTCTCGCGACGGTACTCGTGTTTCAAACTCGAAACTGAGAATAAGCAACGATTCGAGGAACCACCTGTTCCACACTCTTCCACTCACTACTATCGAGGATCCTTCCTTGTTTTACTGACCCGTCACGTACGCACAGTGTTACGGAAGGAAAGGAATTTGGCATCGCCTTTGGGAATTCGAAACTCGTTCCTTCGTCTCTTAGAAGTTTCACGCATTTCCGGCGGCTGTTTGCAGTAGCCCCGTGG